ATGAAAGATATAATTACTATTATCTATTATAATTATATTATTATTAAATTCACAGAGTTGGAAGGGACCCCAAGAATCATCCAGTCCAACCTCCTTCTGCCAAGCAGGAAGATATAATTACTATTTCTTCATTATCCATTTTAATAATTTATGATGATCATTTATTATCAGTATTATTACCCATAGAGCTGAAAGAGACCCATTCAAGGGCCTTCCAGTTTAGCCCCCTTTGCCATCCTGGAGGGCACCATTCGATCCCCCCTGACAGATAATCATCCAGCCTCTACTTCAAAACTTCCACACAAGGAAGCTCCACTAGACTCCCCAAGCTCCACTAGATTCCCAAGCAGTTTTGTATTGTACTAGAGTTGGAAGAAACCCTGAAAGGCCATGCAGTCCAACCCCCTTCTGACAAGCAGGAAGATATATTTACTATTGTATTTTATCCATTATTGTTATTAATGACATTATTACTATTAATTTATTTTTGCAGTATTTATATATTTATTTGAGGTGTTTCTCAACCCCTTAGGGGACTCAGGGCGGTTCACAGTGTTGAGTTGGAAGGGACTCCAAGGGAGGACACAGTGTAATCATTCCCAACAGATGGCCATTAGCCTCTGCTTGAAGACATCCAGAGAAGGAGGTTCCACTGGGCTCTCTGTGATGCCTCTTTCGTGGGAGACACTTGGCCAAAGTTTACATCACTTCGGCAACAAGGCAGCCAGCCATTTCTCTTGAGAAACACCTCTGATCCTTGGGCTGCCAAAGGAGTGTTTTCCCAAACCCCTTTCTTTCTGGAGCAGTTCTGCAAAGCAAACACACCCCAAAACAAGCCATCTGGGGAAAGGAGGACCCAGCTCTTGATGCACTGATAGATTCTCCCAAAAAGGCCTTACTTACTTCAAAGTCGCACTCTTCTCCCACCGCAAACTTAGTCATGATCTCCAACCAGGAAGAGTCGACGAGTTTCTCCAAGGAGATGGTGTTGTGGTGGACCATCTCCAGGACCAGCTTCTCGTACCAGATGGGGAATTCTTCCTTCAAGCTGGAAAACAGCAAGCACAGAAGCAGATACCAAGTAAGTAAGTGACAACTCCGTGATGGTGAGAGAAAAAAAGCCAACTTACAGGCCACGCATCCGACACAGGAAGCCACAGGCTGTATAGGAACGGTTGTCTTTCTCTCTCAAAACACATTTCTCTGTTAACTTGCAAAAAACACATCCCACTCAGAAGAAAATAGATATTTAATGAAGTTGCTAATTCTCTAGTGAGGTCTTCATAATATTACGACTATTGAGTTGCTGTGAGTTTTACAGGCTGTATGGCTATGTTCCAGAAGCATTCTCTCCTGACATTTCGCCCACATCTATGGCAGGCATCCTCAGAGCTTGTGAGGGATATTGGAAATCTGTTGAAGATCCAGGGTGGGAGAAAGAACTGGCTATTGGAGGTAAGTGTGAATATTGCAATTGCCCACTTGATTAGCATTGCAAAGCCTTGCAGCTTCAAGGCCTGGGTGAATCCTTTGTTGGGAGGTGTTAGTTGGCCCTGATTATTTTAAATCTGAAATTCCCGTTTTCAAATGCAATGCCCAAACACAAATCAAGGATCACCTTGATTAGCACAGAATAGCCTTGCAGCTTCAAGGCTTGGCTGCTTCCTGCCTGGGATCCTCTCACCTCTGCAAGAGTCTACTGTGTACTGTTGTGAACAAGTCTACAAAGGGACCACCAAATGCAGCATTAACCCAAACACAAATCAAGGAACATGAAAGTCACTGCAGACTGCTTCAACCAGAGAAGTCAGCCATAGGAGAACACCTGATGAACCAACCTGGACACAGCATATTATTTGAGAACACAGAAATGCTGGACCACTCTCACAACCACCATGTCACGCAACACAAAGAACATGTGAACAATTTCAACAGAAAGGAAGAAACCATGAAAATAAACAAAATCTGGCCACCAGTATTAAAAAAAAAAAAAACCTCCAGAATTAGGACAGTAAGTAAAGAACACCCAGAAAACAGGGGAATTCAAGACATGAAACAATCAGGGCCAGCTAACACCTCACAATAAAGGATTCCCCAGGCAGGACTCTGCCAGGCTTTGAAGCTGCAAGGCTTTGCAATGCTAATCGAGGTGATTAATTGCAACATTCACACTTGCCTCCAACAGAGAACAATTATTTCTCCCACCCTGGACCTTCAACAGATATATAATCCTCCCTTGTCTAGTTTCCAATATACCTCACAACCTCTGAGGATACCTGCCATAAATGTGGGCAAAAATGCCAGGAGAGAATGCTTCTGGAACATGACCAATCAGCCCAGAAAACTCACAGCAACCCAGTGATTCCAGCCAGCAAAGCCTTTGACAACACATCACTACTACTGCACTCAAGATAATTATAATAGTAATAACAAAATGTTTATTACATTTAGCAATATAAAACAATACAGAAGGACAACAATATAAAACTCCTTCCTTGAAAGGTTTGAAACAGAGACTGGATGGCCATCTGTCAGGGGTGCTTTGATTGTGCAGAAAGAATCAGGTTGGCCTAGATGGCATGTGTGTTCTCTTCCAATTTTATTATTCTAGGATAAAACATTACAAGCAATATAAAACAATATAGAATCATACGAGTTGGAAGAGGCCACAAATATTAGGACAATAGAAAATGTTATATAGTACATAAAACAATTAGCCTACACTTCTTGCCCATTAGTATACAATTAATTTTTGTTTGTTGTTACACTTTTTTGTTGCGAGTTTCCGACTTTGTTCACCAAGAATTGGACACCTGAAAGTTAGCTCAGGAAATGGAACAGGCTTCCTTTTGAAATAAAGCCAACTTCTTGCCCAATTTACCATACAGACAGAGGGAGAGGCTCTCAGGGCCTCTATAAACAGATGGCCCAGATTTTGCTACTTACAGCTCCGCTACTTCCTGCTCCTCCTCCCAGGCTTCTTTGTGGGTCAGCTGGCTGCTGCCAGTGCTTTTGCAGGTCCATATCCGCTGGTTGTACTTCTCGAGCCGGGCCTCATACTCTCTGGAGGAAAAAGCGCTCAGGAAAACAGCCAAGGCTGGGTTTTTAAGGCCACTTTGCACAGAATAAAGACCCTTGGCCAGACCAGGCACCCCTCCTTCACGCGAACGGATGAACAAACCAGGAAACAGGAAGGTGGAGCATTGTATCCAAAGCCAAGATCGTAAACCAGGCTGTGCTGATTGTTGACAGTCCTGCTTTCGGACCTCCACAGCCTTTGCAACCACAGGAGAAGGGGCAATTGAAAACTGGAGTCAACGTCTCCATAACAGAGACCCAAAGAACCTCCAGGAGAGAAGGTTAAAAAGAGATATGAGACGAGCCATATTTAAATATTTAGATGTCCTAAGGAAGAGGGAGCAAATTTGTTTTCTGCTGCCCTGGAAACTAGGACTCAATGGAGCCATGGGTTCAAATAACAGGAAAGGCGGATCCACCGGAGCCTTAGGAAGAACATTCTGACCAGAAAAACCGCTGGAGTCTGGTGGAAGCTCGTTCCTTGGAGGATTTTAAACATAGGTTGAATAGTCATCTGTCGGGGTGCTTTCCCTGCATAGCATGGGTTTGGACTGGCCAGCTATTGGAGCCCCTTCTGACTCAACAACAACAACAACAACAATTCTATCTCAGGATCCATTCCAACTCAGTAATAATAATGATGATGATGATAATGAGACATGCCACATGATCACAGGATGTCTACATCCCACACCACTGTTTAGCTGGTATCGTACCACCTGACATCCATTAGGAAGTAGCAGCCAGCAATGAAAGGGCCAAGGCACTGACATCTTCAGCCCGTCCTCTATTCAGATATCAGCCAGAATGCTAGGGCTTTAAATCAAGAAACAGGTTTCTAAGATCTACAGAGTTACTCGCAGGAACACATCAGCAAGCAAGAGTCCAAAAGTGGCAGGCAAAAACCAAGCACCTCGATCCGTGGCTGAGACCAGATGAAGCAACGTATTCCACTCTTGAACAGCTCTTACCACCAGGTTCTTCCTAATGTTGAGATGGTATCTCTTTCCCTGCCATTTCTGGGGTTACTGCCTCATTGTGTCCAAGTCTCTGGAGCAGCAGAAAACAAGCCTTGTCCCCTCCTCAACGTGACAAGAGAAACATCTGCCTCATCCAAGGCCTTTCACAGAACCGCTTCTGGCCATGTGACACTAAACAGATTATAAACACTCTCAAGCTGACTAATTCGGCTCTTTAAGTAGTAACTTTCCACCTCATAAACCTCTCTGCTGTAGAGATGATTCAACAAAGTCCCGCCTGAGGCGCAAAATCACTGCACTGTGCAAAGGGAGAGGGAAATAACAGTCCAGTCAGGGGCTCTCTTGGGTGAAAGACAAAGGAGGGAGAGTGCAGGGTGGACACAAAGCTTTCTCATGCACAAATGCTATAGTCAACTGCTCGGGCTTGATTTGGAGTCCCACAACAAATAGCATAATTAGAGTTCGTGTCCCTCAAAGAGGAGCTCCTGAAGCAGCTTCTCCTTTGGCTTTGGTTCAACACTAAAATGACCAAATGATGTAAATCTAAGGCAGGCCTGGGCAAACTTTCTAACTCAAGGGCCGCATGCTAGCACTCCCTGCTAGGAGGACTGGCTTCCGGTGACAGAAARAAGGGGAGGAAGGGAAGAGAGAAGGCAGGATGGATGAAAAGGAGGGGGGGGGAATGAGGGAAGAAAAGACAAAAACAGAAGGAAGGATGAAAGGGAAGGAAGAAGAAAGAGGGAGAGAGGATTGAGGATTGAGGATTGAGGGAGGGAAGGAAGGAAGGAAGGAAGGAAGGGAAGGAAGGAAAAAGAGGGAGGGGAGGGAGGGAAAGAGGAAGGAAAAACAAAAGGGAGGGAAGGATGGATGGAAGGGAAGGAAAGAGAAAAAGAAGGATGAAAGGATGGATGGGGAAAGAGGGAGGAAGAAGAAAGAATGAAGACAAGACAAAAGGGAAGGAAGGAAGGATAAAAGGGTGGAAGGGAAGGAGAAAAAAGGAAGGAGGAAGGAAAGAGAGAAGGAAGGATAGGATGGTGAGAGAGAAGAGGGCCTGAGAAAAGAACCCAAGGGGCCACATCCAGCCTCCCAGGTTGGGTTTACCCATACCTGATCTAAGGAATACCCTAATTTTGGCTATGTCATTTTGCCCCAAAAGATGAGCATTAGATTTGAGGAAATAGGGTATTTGGTGTCTTGTCTTCAGCTTTCAGTCTAACTTGCCTGGAGAAAGCATCCAAATCACAGCCAAAACAAAACGTCACAACAGACATATACAAGCAGCAAAGCAAATATGAGGGAGAAACAGCAACACAAGAGAAAGCCTCTCCCCAAAAGATTGCCTAAGGCATTCCAGCATCTGCCAGGCATCTGGTTCAATCTTCATCCCTTCAAGCAGAAGTCCACTATCAAACACTGACTCAAATTAATGACCTGGGATCAAAATGACGTTTAAAACTCAAAACAGTTGAAGCGAAGAAGCCACACGCAACAGAAGCAAAATGAGATTTTAAAGGCCTGCCATCACCATTATCGTCTCATTATTACCTTCTCTGCTATGCTTAGATTTTGGATCCATGAACATCATATGTACATTGCCAGAAGACCAAATTATACATAATATATTTAAAATCTGAAACTTCAGGAAGCAAAAGTGTCACTGTCTCAGCCACCTAAGTAAACCATTACAAGCACTCTGGGTTTCGACACAAACCTGTAGGATTTCCAAAGAGCCCACATTATCATTATTATTGTTACTACCAGACTTCTATTTTAAGATGCCATCAATTTTAAGACACACATTAATTTCAGTACCACCAACACACATGAAAAAGATATATACATAAACTCAATTATTAATATTATTCCACATAAGAGAGACCTTACATTATTATTATTCCACATAAGATATACCCAACCTCTAGCATTCTCATTCTGTTACATTGTATGTTCTTATATTCCATTTCCAGTTACACTGTCACTATATGTGGAAATAAGAGTTACAGTGTAACTGGAAATTGAATATAAGAACATACAATACACTATAATGAGTATACTTATTACCATTCCTAACAAGGGACACTCAACCTCTATGATTATATTATATTATTCTTGCTACTAATATTCTATATAGTTAGGGCTGTCACTCCATTTCCAGATACCCAACATTATTATTGTTGTTATTATTATATTATTATTCCACATAAAAGATACCCAACCTCTATTATTCTTGCCTTTCTTGCTCAGAGTCCCTTTCGGGATGAGAAGGGTGAGGTACAAGTGTGGTAAATAATAAATAATTATTGCTACTATTGTTCTATGTATAGTTAGATTGCCACCCTATTTCCACACAAACCCAACTTTTATTGTTGTGATTATTCCACACCAGAGATACTCAACCTCTATCATTCTCATTATATTACATTGCTCTTATATTCCATTCCCAGTTAAACAGTCACTCTTTTTCCACATAAAGGGGTACTTATTACCATTCCAAACAAGGGACACTCCACCTCTATGATTATAATATAATATAGGATTCTATTATTCTGGTCATAAAGAGATATTCCACCTGATTATTACCATCCACATAAGAGATACCCTACATGTATTATTATTCCACATGAGAGATACCCAACCTCTTATCGTTCTCATTATATTGTTGTATGCTCTTTATTCCATTCCCAGTTACACTGTCACTCTATTTCCACATAATGAGATATTTATTACTACTCCAAACAAGGGACACTCCACCTCTGTACATTCTATATACAGTTAGGCTGTATATAGAATATGTATTATTATTATCCTACATGAAGATATATTTAGTATCATTCCAAAGAAAGGACATACAACCTCTATGATTCTATATAGTTAGGCTGCCATCCTATTTCCAAAGATTTCCAACTTTATTATTATCCCACATAAAGAAATACTTATTATCACTCCAAACAAGGGACACTTAACCTATATGATTCACACACACACACACACACACACACACACACACACACAATTCTATTATTCTGGTCAAGAAGAGATACTCCACCTGATTATCATTCCGAATAAGGGACACTCCACCTCTCATTTTATTATTATTATACATATAGATAATATTATTCTGGCCATGAAGAGCTACTCCACCAGATGGTTACCATTCCAAACAAGGGACACTCCACCTCTGATTCTTGCTACTATTATTCTATATACAGTTAGACCACCACCCTATTTCCACATACCCAACTTTATTATTATACATAAGAGGTGCCCTACATTATTATTATTCCACATCAGAGATACCCAACCTCTTACCATTCCCATTATATTATGTTGTATGCTCTTATATCCCATTCCCAGTTACTCTGCCACTCTATTTCCACATAAAGTGGTACTTATTGCCATTCCAAACAAGGAACACTCCACCTCTAAGATTATATTATAATATAGGATTCTATTATTCTGGCCATAAAGACATACTTCACCAGATTATTAAAATACACATAAGACATACCCTACATGTATTATTATTCCACATATAAGCTATCCAACCTCTTATCATTCTCTTTATATTATATGGCATGCTCTCCCAGTTACACTGTCATTCTATTTCCGCATAGAGCAGTACTTATTACAATAGGATTCTATTATTCTGGCCATAAAGAGATACTCCACCTGATTATTGCCATCCATATAAGAGATACCCTACATGTATTATTATTCCACATATAAGCTATCCAACCTCTTATCATTCTCTTTATATGGCATCCTCTCCCAGTTACACTCTCTCTATTTCCATATAAATTGGTACTTATTGCCATTCCAAACAAGGGACACTCCACCTGTTATGATTCTATGATACTATAGGATTCTATTATTCTGGCCATAAAGACAGACTTCACCAGATTATTAAAATCCACATAAGGCATACCCTACATGTATTATTATTCCACATATGAGATATCCAACCTCTTATCATTCTCTTTATATTATATGGCATGCTCTCCCAGTTACCTTCTCACTCTATTTCCACATAAAGTAGTACTTATTGCTATTCCAAACAAGGGACACTCCACCTGTTATGCTTCTATTACAATAGAGGACTCTACTATTCTGACCATAAAGTGATACTTCACCTAATATTACATTCAACTTAAGAGATCCTCTACATGTAGTATTATTCCACATCAGAAATACCCAACCTCTTACAATTCCCATTATATTATGTTACATGCTCTTATATCCAATTCCCAGTTGCACTGTCACTCTATTTCCACATAATGAGATATTTATTACTAATCCAAAGAAGGGACACTCCACCTGTTATGATTCTATTACAATAGAGGACTCTACTATTCTGGCGTTAAAGTGATACTCCACCTGATAGTTACATTCCACACTTAAGATACCCTACTTGTATTATTATTCCACATCAGAGATACCCAACGTCTTACCATTCCCATTATACTATGTTGCATGCTCTTATATCCCATTCCCAGTTACACTGTCACTCTATTTCCACATAATGAGATATTTCTTACTACTCCAAAGAAGGGACACTCCACCTGTTATGACTCTATTACAATAGAGGACTCTTATTATTCTGACCATAAAGTGATACTCCACTTGATAATTACATTCAACTTAAGAGATCCTCTACATGTATTATTATTCCACATCAGAGATACCCAACCTCTTACCATTCCCATTATATTATGTTGCATTCTCTTATACCCCATTCCCAGTTACACTGTCACTATTTCCACATAATGAGATATTTATTACTACTCCAAACAAGGGACACTCCACCTCTGTCATTCCATTATACTATAGGATTGTATTATTCTGGCCATAAAGAGATACTCCACCTGATTATTGCCATCCAAATAAGAGCTACCCTACATGTATTCCACATCAGAAATATCCAACCTCTTACTATTCCCATTATATTATGTTGCATTCTCTTATATCCCATTCCCACTCTATTTCCACATAAAGAGCTACTTATTGCCATCCCAATCGAGGGACACTCCACCTCTGAATATCCTATTACAATAGAAGACTCTCCTATTCTTGCTGCTGCCACCCAGTCTCGTTACCATCCCCCAAATGAAGAATCCTTGTTGTATTTGTAGTCAACGGCACAAAAGGGAGAACAAAGGGAGCGTAATGGGGAGGGTGAGGCCTAGTGCTAGGCCGAAGCCCTTCCTCGAGTGAATAAGCGGCCCCCTTTCCTTGAGGCGAAGGATACTCTCTGGAGCGGAAGGCCTCCCGGGTGTGGGCCACGACGAAGCGCTCCTCGGGCGGCTCCCCCGGGGTTGGCGAGAGCGGCTTGGCCAACGGGAAAGGCTTGCGGCCTAGCAGCGGCGCCATGGCCTCCTCAGGCCCCGCTCCGCCGCCGAGAAAATGGCGCGCGAAACAACAACAAACGAAGGCTGAGGCGGGAGGAAGACAAAATTAGCGTCCCTCCCAGCCCCGCCCCGTTTCTCCCTCTCGTTTCTTCATTGGTCGATTTGAGAGCGGCGCTTGCGTCCTATTGGCTGCTCCAGGCGCCACTCGCGAAGGGGGCGGAGCGACGTCAAAAAAATGGAAGTTGGGTTGCGCCGTACTCGCGCGGGAGACTGACTGAGGGGAAAAAGGCAGGTCGCGTTATGTAAGCGCCAAGGAAGCCGCCGCCGCCGCCATTTTGTTAGACGTCGCTGCTGTGACGCTTCCCGGCCAATAGGAGGCCGGCACTTCATCCGGGGAACTCAAGAGGAGGCGGGAGGAAAGGGAAAGAAAGCACGCTTTGCCGGCTTTTGTCTAAGTAAGTGAATGACGCTCGGGCTCGCCTTAAAGAGACAGGCGCCTTATTATTATTATTATTATTATTATTATTATTATTATTATTATTATTATTATTACTATTATTATTATTACTATACAGAGACTTAATTAAAAGTAGTACAATAAAACTTAAAATATACAAACATTAAAAGAATATTATAATTATATATTATTAGGAAGGATAATAATATCGAGGATACTTTTGATGGTGTGGTGAGTGAATTAGAACCAGACATCCTGAGGAGTGAGGTGGAATTGGGCCTTAAGGAGCATTGCTAACAACAAGGCAGCAGGAGATGACGGGATCCCAGACGAACTGTTGACAATCTTGAAAGAGGATGCTGTCAAGGGGATGCATGCCATATGCCAACAAATATGGAAAACACAAGAATGGCCATCAGACTGGAAAAAATCCACTTCTATCCCCATACCAGTCACTTCAAGGGCACCAAGGCCGTCACCAAGTACACCAGCTCCAAGTAGACTCCCAGTGGAGTCCCTAACCAGACCCAAAGTGAAGTGACTGGACTGACCTTGAAGTGACTGGACTGACCTTGAAGGAGCTGGGGGTGGTGACGGCCGACAGGGAGCTCTGGCGTGGGCTGGTCCATGAAGTCACGAAGAGTCGAAGACGACTGAACGAATGAACAACAACATCCCCATACCAAAAAAGGGAAATGTGAAAGACTACTCAAACTTCTGTAGAGTGACCCTTATTTCTCATGCCAGTAAAGTAACGCTCAAGATCCTGCAAGGAAGACTCCAGCAAGACATAGAGAGAGAGTTGCCAGATGTACAAGCTGGGTTCAGAAAAGGCAGAGGAACAAGAGACCAGATTGCCAATATCCAGATGCCGGAGAATGGAGAAAGGCAGGGAGTTTCAAAAAAAAACATCTATTTCTGTTTCATTGACTGTTCTAAAGCCTTTCACTGTGTGGATCATAATAAACTGTGGCCAGTTCTTGGTGGTCTGGGCATGCCAAATCACCTTGTCTCCCTACTGAGGAATCTGTATAAGGACCAAGTAGCAACAGTAAGAACTGACCATGGAACAACAGGCTGGTTCAAGATTGGGAAAGGCGTACGGCAGGCTTGTATCTGAAGTTGAGGAGGAATTTAAAGGGGTCTTGCCCTGAAGGAGAGACCCTGCAGACCCACCAAAGAGGACTCGCTACAATGGTGAGCAAAGAGAAGCCACAATTTAAAAGGTTTTTCCTAAGTTCCCAAAAGAAATCTCATCGAATTTGAAGGAAGCACCACCAAGATGATTTTATTGCGATTCAGCTGAAAAGGATGCAAAGCAGCAATATTTTGCCAAGCTGAGCATACAGTGTACAAAAATAAAGGCCTTTTTATACATAAAACAGAGGTGTCAGGTTTGAATCTCCCATTCCCCGCCCCTCTGCCAGCTCAACGATGATTGGCTGCCGCTCTACAGCTGGGAGGAGGCTTGGCCGCCTCCTGAGCACCTGGGCCAATCACTGGGCTTCTGCTGCCACGGCATCCTGATGAATCAGGAGAGAGGGAGGCGGGACAAGAAGGAAACAATGGAATCTTGAGAGGATTATGGAGGTAGGAAATGTCCATGTGGCCAGCGAGTCCTGGGGCCTGCGAGCCAGCCATTCCTATTGTCGTTTAGTGGTTGCAATCAGCATTGATGTTTGGCGATCCTGCCAAGATCTGGATTTTTCCAATGCAGAGATATGGGAACAATGGGGAACTTTGGCTGAGTCTTTAGTGAAAGAAAATTTGAATGGGTGACAGATTAGGATGAGGTTCCCCATTGTTCCCCATTGTTCCCATATCTCCGCACTGGAAAAATCCGGATCTTGGCAGGATCGCCAAACATCAATGCTTATTGCAGCCTCTCAACGACAATAGGAATGGTTGGCTCGCAGGACTCGCTGGCTGCATGGACATTTTCTACCTCCATAATCCTCTTAAGAATCCATTGTTTCCCTCTTGTCCCGCCTCCCTCTCTCCTGATTCATCAGGACGCCGTGGCAGCAGAAGCCCAGTGATTGGCCCAGGTGCTCAGGAGGCGGCCAAGCCTCCTCCCAGCTGTAGGGCTCCAGCCAATCACCGTCGAGCTGGCAGAGGGGTGGGGAGCAGGAAATTCAAACCTGACAACTCTGTTTCTGTATAAAAAAGGCTTTTATTTGTGCACATGTTATGCTCAGCTTGGCGAAATATTGCTGCTTTGCATCCTTTTCAGCTGAATCGCAATAAAATCATCTCGGTGGCGCTTCCTTCAACTTTGGTGAGATTTCTTTTGGGAACTTAGGAAAAACCTTTTAAATTGGGCTTCTCTTTGCTCACCATTGTAGCGAGCCCTCTTTGGTGGGTCATCAGGTCTCTCCTTCAGCGCCAGACCCTTTTAAATTCCTCCATGATTTCATCATGAGAAGAAAGAAAAGCTTAGAGAAGATAATGATGCTTGGGCAAAAGGAAGGAAAAAGGAAGAGGGGCCGACCAAGGGCAAGATGGATGGATGGGATCCTTGAAGTGACTGGATTGACCTTGAAGGAGCTGGGGGTGGTGACGGCTGACAGGGAGCTCTGGCGTAGGCTGGTCCATGAGGTCATGAAGAGTCGGAAACGACTGAACGAATGAGCAACAACATTAGTAATATTATATCTAATATATCAATAGTATTATTAGTATATTGAATTACATCACAATATTAATATATGTATATATAATATATAATGCAATATTATATTACAATATTCTTTCATATATTATTACATTAGTATTATTAGTATATTGAATTATATCACAATATTAATATATGTATATAAGATATATATTATATAATATCATATTACAGTATTATTTTATACATTATTATATTAGTATTATATTGAATTACATCACAATATTAATATATGAATACAAAATATATATTATATAATACAATATTATATTACAATATTTGTTTGTATTGTATTACTATATATGGTATTATATTACAATATTAGTAATATTATTCATGCAAATCTACCATTTGTCAAAATATATAATTCTGTGCTATTCTTTTCCATTTCTGGTCGAATAGCTTAAATTAGTATAATATTATAATTACTATAAATATATAAATACATATTTTTAAAAAGCATAATAAAATAGACTTCCAAGCACAATGCGGCACACAAGTGGGCTTTTTATTATTAGGCAGGACCGAGGAAACACCATCTGGAAAAAACCCAGAAATGATGTATTAAAATAAAGCATGAAAATTTTATGTATTTCCTCCACCACAGGCATCCCAGTGTTTCTGACTCTCTCCATTGGTGTGGAATTTGCATGGCCCTTCCCACTGCCTCTACTATTATGTTATTATTTATTATGCATTATGCATCCAATCCCACCGCATTCTGCCAGGCAGGGAGATAGAATATTATATTATTATCTATTAATTGCTATTATGTTATATTATTATATTACTACCCATTATTATCATTTATTATTGTTATACTGTTTTATTATAATAGATTCATACAGTTGGAAGGGACTCCCAAAGGCCATCCAGTCTCACCCCATTCTGCCAAGCAGGAAGCTGGATTTCCTATTATATTATTATCATTACAATTATATTATTATTATTATTATTATTATTATTATTATTATTATTATTCAGTCAGAAGGGACCCCCAAAGGCCATCTAGTCCCACCCTTTTCTGCCAAGCTGGAACTACTATATTATTATTATTATTGTCTATCATTACTATTATATTATCCAATATCATTTATTATCATTCTTAGTAGTATTATTGTATTTTATTATTATTAGACATATAGTAGCTGGAAGAGACCCCCAAAGGCCATCCGGTCTAATCCTATTCTTCCAAGGAGGGAGATGGAATTACTATTATATTAGTATCCTTTATTATCATGTATTATTACTATAATATATATTGTTATTCTATATTATTATTATTATTACTACTACTATTATTACAATTATTATATTATACAGTTGGAAGGGATGGGATGACCCCAAGGGTCACCTAGTCCAAAGGCCATCCAGTCCCACCCCTTCTGCCAGGCATGAAAATAAATTCCATTATTATTATTATTATTATTATTATTATTATTATTATTATACAGTTGGAAGGGACTCCCAAGGGCTATCCAGTCCAACCCTATTCTGCCAAGGAGGAAGATGTAATTACTATTATATTATTACCATGTATTATTATTACTACTGCTATTGGTGTTGGAAGGGGCCTCAAAGGTCATGCAAGTCCAAACCTATAAAGGGAGGCACCACCTGATCCCTCCCGACAGATGGCCTTCCATCCCTAACTGGAAAGGTGAGAGAACACCTACCTGCCTGCCTTAAGGATGGAAGGCCTCCATGAAGGAGGGTATCTTGTCGAACGGGCTGCATCCGCTGCCACAGAAGTGCCACCAGGCCGCGGAGGAGAGGCCCACCAAGAGTATCAGACCTAGCAGCCCCTTGAAGACCCTCCGGGCCCATGGGGAACCTGCAAGGGGGAGCAGCGGGTTCTTAGAGGACACCCCCGGCTCCTTCGCCGCCACCGCCTCCAGCAGACCTGCGTGGGACGATTGGGTTGGTGGGATGTCCGACTTGGAAGGGACCCCCAGAAGCCACCCAGTCCAGCCCCATTGAGCCACTGATGGCGGACCCATCAAAGCCCTCCCGACAGATGGCCATTCAGCCCATGATTCAGGTCCTCCACACAAAGTCTCTCCGTTGGGCTCCCAGCCAGTCCATACAATGCTAGAGTTGCAAGGGACCCCAAGGGTCACCCAGTCCAACCCCCTTCTGCTATAAAGACAGACAATCATTATTATTATTATTATTATTATTATTATTATTATTATTATTATTATTATCAGACTTATAGAGTTGGTAAGGACCACAAAGGCCATTCAGTCCAACCTCATTCTGCCATAAAGGAAGACAGAATTACTACTACTACTATTATTATTATTATTATCATCATCATCATCATCATCATCATCATCACACTCATAGAGTTGGTAGGGATCCCAAAGGCCATCCAGTCCAACCCCCTTCTGCCATAAAGTAAGACAGAATTATTATTATTATTATTATTATTATTATTATTATTATTATTATTACCATTAGACACAGTTGGAAGGGACCTCAAGGGCCATGCAGTCTCACCCTCTTCTGAGAAACAGGAGTATAGAATTGCTATTTATTATTACCTATCTATTATTATTATTATTATACAGTTGGGAGGGAGCCCAAGGGCCATCCAGTCCAACCCCCTTTTGCCTGGCGGAGAAGATGAAATTTCTTTTATATTATTATCCATCATCATCGTTCTATTATTATTATTATTATTACTACTACTACTACTACTACTACTACTACTCTATTTTGTTATTCTTATACAGTTGGGACCCCAAAGGGCATCTAGTCCAACCCTCTTCTGCCAGGCATGAAGAACCCATGAAATCCTTCCTGGCAGGTGACCAATCCAGACTCTGCTTACAGAATCATAGAATGCTGGGAGCTTATAAGGGACCCCCAAAGGCCATCCAGCCCAAGCCTTTTCTGCCAAGCATGAAGATGGCATTACTATTACATTATCAATTACTATACTTATGTATTATTTATTATTAATATTATTATTTATTTATTTTTGTTAATAATAATAATAATGAAGACCCTATTAAATCCTTCCTGGCAGGTGACCAATCCAGACTCTGCTTACAGAATCACAGGAGGCCGGGGATTTTAAAAAGGACCCCCAAAGGCCATTCAGTCCAACCCTTTTCTACCAAGCATGAAGATGGCATTACTATTATATTATCAATTATAATAACTATTTATTATTAATTATTATTAATTAAAGACCCCATTAAATTCTTCTTGACAGGTGGCTATGCAAACTCTGCTTACAGCATCATAGAAGGCTGGGGGTTTAAAAACGGACCCCCAAAGACCATCCGGTCAAACACCACTTACCTTGGTCCAGGGCCTCGGAGGCCCGGCAGGCAGCCTTCATGATGGCCAGTTTGCCCCTGGGCTGCCCGGGGATGTAGACCTCCGCCTCCACCTCAATGTCTTCCAGCTCCATGGCGTCGGTAGGGCCCGTGGCCTGGCCCTGGCCCTTGCCTTGGCCTTTGGGGGCCTTGGGGAAGACCCCCCGGAGGAGCTGGAGGAGCTGGGCCCGGGCAGTGAGAGCCTCCCCTTTGGTGGGTTCCATGATGACCCCCACCAGGGCGCAAGGAGACCGCCGGACAAATTGCTTCACCTGGGAAGGAGAGAAGAACACAATAGGGTAGCTGCAATCCGAACCCTCCAGACTTGTGTAAGTCCAAAGCATGAGAAGATCAAAGGCCGAACCAATAGGAGCTATGAACCCATTTAACCCTTTAAATAGCATGCACTTCCCTGCTGAGAGATTTCCCTCTGGCCATTTCCCAAGCCTAGACACTCCATCACATCGAACCTTTAATAGATGGTATCTATTCTTAATTATTTTCAATATAACTTCTGTATCTTTCCCAGCGAACTCTGCTTTCTCCCTGCTGCTTCTTTCTCCACATGGCGAGAGGCCATTCATTTAAAGAGGAAAGGCAGCCTTTTTGGCTTTGCTTTGCTTTTTTGCGCTGAAATTGAAACTGACTTTGGGAGACTTCCAAGAAATTACAAAATGCAAACAAAAAAGTATTGGGTGAGTTTCGATTCTTAAGTTTTTGGCACATGTCGGATATCGCATTGTAAGTACGAACTTAACGAATTTGATATGACAACTAACGATAATTCTGCACAGCCCTACCAGGCACGGATCCTCTTTAACCGTGGCCCTAATTGATAGCTGCATCCGTACCTGCTGGAGGACCTTCCGCAGCTCAGCCTGCTTCCGCTTCAAGCATTCGGCCCGGCAAAGGAAGAAGATGAGCTGGCAGCGCTTGCCGGCGATGGAGCAGGGGGCACTGGCTGCCTCCAGGAGGGCATCCCCCGGCGGGACTGGCTGGCACTGGGCCGCAAAGAGGTCCTCCACGAAGGATGACATCATGGCGTGGATGTCCTGGCCCCCCAGTGCCTCCCCGATCAGCAGCACCTCCGGGCGGCCCCCCACCTGCGGAAAGAGATGGGGGGGATGATGGGTTCATGGAATGGAAGGGATCCCCAGAGGCCATCCAGCCCACTGCCCAACACACACAGAGGGATGATGGGATCTAGAAACAATGGCATAGAAGGGCCCCCCTGAGGCTATTTCCTTCACCCCCAACACAGAGAGAGAGAAGAGATGGGGGGATGGATAGACAGATAGGTAGGTAGGCTGGTAGATACAAAGATAAGTAGATAGATAGGATCAGAGTACCATAGGATCATGAAGGAACCCCAAAGACCATCTAGTCCAACTTCCTGTGATAGATAGATAGGTAGGTAGGCAGGCAGGATATCTGGATGGCCCTTGGGATCCTTATGGGTCTTGGATGGATGGATGGATGGATAGATAGACTGATAGACAAATGGATGGATGGAGATAAAGAGATAGCTATAGATATAGAAATAGAGATAGATAGATAGATAGATAGATAGATAGATAGATAGATAGACAGACAGACAGACAGACAGACAGACAGCTGGATAGATAGTTGGACAGATAGATAGATAGATAGATAGATAGATAGATAGATAGATAGATAAAGCTGAATAGATAGATAGCTGAATAGATAGTTAGCTGAATAGATGGATGGATGGATGGATGGATGGATAGATAGCTGAATAGATATATAGGTAGATAGCTGAATAGATAGATAGATAGATAGATAGATAGATAGATGAATAGATAGATAGCTGAATAGATAGTTAGCTGAATAGATGGATGGATGGATGGATGGATGGATAGATAGCTGAATAGATATATAGGTAGATAGCTGAATAGATAGATAGATAGATAGATAGATAGATAGATAGATAGATAGATAGATAGATAGCTGAATAGATAGCTGAATAGATAGATATATAGGCAGATAGATAGCTGGATAGATAGCTGGATAGATAGGTAGATGGACATAGATAAACAGACAGACAGACGGCTAGATAGTTGGATAGATAGAAAGATGGATGGATGGATGGATGAGTAGGTAGGTAGGTAGGTAGATAGAAGGATGGATGGATAGATAGATGAATAGATAGATATATAGGTAGATAGCTGAATAGATAGATAGACAGACAGACAGAAACAAGGTTGGTCTGGAGCCCTTGGGGTTCCTTCCAACTCTAGGGTTCTAAGATAGATAGATAGACAGACAGACAGACAGATAGGATCATGGTACCACAGAATCATGGAGTTGGAAGGTGCATCCAAAGGTAGAAATAGATAATGAAGGATAATGAAAGAAATAGATAGAGAATGAAGGATGATGAAAGAAGTCCCCTGAAGCCTCTGCACCTTCTGCACCAGGATCTGGAAATCGTGGGCCACCTTCTCCCCGGGGCCTGGGATGCAGAGAGCGGGGCCCGCCCCCCCTGGGGCCTCCCCCTCTGAGGCCGGCCCCCCCTTGCCGCTCATATCCTGCCCTTCCGGCCCCTCCGGCCTCCAGGGATGACCCTCCGGCTTCCCTCCTCCCTCCCCGTTTTTGATGTCACAATGCCACTGCCGCACACTCTCAGCCCACCGGCACCCATGGAGACTGCGGGGGAGAGTCACTGTGACACAGGCGGAATGTGCTGAAGCGGAGGGAGAGATCCATACATACAGATGGCCTGGATGGCCTTTAGGGTCCTTTCCAATTCTAGGGTTCAATGATAGATAGAGATGGATAGAGAGAGAGATAGCCGAGTAGACACACAGATATAGATGGATGGATAGAAAGAAAAAAAGGTGGATGGATGGACAGAATGATAGGTGGATGGATGGATGGATGGATAGTTAGATAGATAGATAGATAGATAGATAGACAGACAGAGAGAGAGAGAGAGAAGAGAGAGAGAGACCCCGGATAGATACGAAGAAAGATATGCACACATAGATAACAAGATAGAGGGATAGAGAGGTAGCCAAATACAGAGAGGGATTGATGAATGGATAGATGGATAGATAGATAGATAGATAGATAGATAGATAGATAGATAGATAGATAAGATAAGATAAGATAAGATAAGATAGATACTCGTAGCTAAATAGATAGATGGATTTAGATTAAGATAGACAAACAAATGAGTCGATGGATGGATGGACAGAGATAACATAAAGAGATAGAGATAGCTGAATAGATAGCTAGATAACTAGATAACTAGATAGACAGACAGACAGACAGACAGATAGATAGATAGACAAGACAAACAGATACAGATACAAACATGCAAACAAGGTTGGTCTGCATGGCCCTTGAAGTCCTTATGGGTCTTGGATGGATGGATGGATGGATGGATGGATGGATAGATAGATAGATAGATAGATAGATAGATAGATAGATAGATAGATAGATAGATCGACGGACGGACGGACGGACGGACGGACGGATGGATGGACGGATATATCTGGATGGCCCTTGGGGTTCTTATGGGTCTTGGATGGATGGATGGATGGATGGATGGATAGATAGACTGATAGACAAATGATTGGATGGAGATAAAGAGATAGCTATAGGTTGGTCTGCATGGCCCTTGAAGTCAATAATGGGTCCTGGATGGATGGATGGATGGATAGATAGATAGATAGATAGATAGATAGATAGATAGATAGATGGATGGATGGATGGATGGATGGATGGATGGATGGATGGACGGACGGACGGACGGACGGACGGACGAATGGATGGATGGATATATCTGGATGGCCCTTGGGGTTCTTATGGGTCTTGGATGGATGAATGGATAGATAGACTGATAGACAGATAGAAATAGATAGATAGAAATAGATAGATAGATAGATAGATAGATAGATAGATAGATAGATAGATAGAATAGATAGATAAATAGATAGATAAATAGATAGATAGATAGATAGATAGAAGATAGATAGAAGATAGAGTAACTGAGTTTTGTTAATAATAGATGGTCTGGATGGCCTTTTGGGTCATCTTCCAAATCTATGATGCTGTTCTATGGTTGGATGTGGATGGGATGGAATAGATAGATGGATAGGTAGATAGATAGATAAGGATAGATAGAGTAGAAGATAGATAGATATGAATGGATGGGGGATGGATGGATGGATGGATGGATGGATGGATGGATGGATAGATGATGGATAGATGTGAATGGAATGGATGGATGGATGGATGGATGGAGAGATGGAATGAGGATAGATAGATGAATAGATGGATGGATCGATCGATCGATCGGATAGATAGCTGAATAAATAGATAGAAAGATAGATGGATGGATGGATAGATGGATAGACAAATAGACAGATACATACCTACATACACACACACACACAGATATGCACACATAGATACAGGGGTTTGGACTGGATGACCTTTGGATTCCCCTCCCAACTCAAGTAGAATATAGTCTGCCTGGGAGTCTCATGAAGGTCCTTTCTTCTCTGGAGGTTTCTAAGCAGAGGATGAATGGCCACCTGTCGGGAGGGCTTTGTTGGTGCCTCCTTCATGGACTAGATGGCCTCTGGGGTATTTTTCTAAAACCTTGGAGGAATTGTTGAGCCAAAAGGCAATATATGAACATTCAAAATAAATAGAGACGCAATGAAGTCACTTTTTAAAATTGTTTTATTTCCGTTAGCGGCTCAAAATCCAGATGAAGTCAAGAGCTGGAAGAGAAATGGAAACGGTATGAGGAAGAGGACCCTGAAATAGGATAATGATGATAATAATAATAAATATATAATAATAATAATAATAATATAATAATAACAACAACAAGAGTGATCTTGTTTGCTGTGAACTCATCTTGTTGTGTTTCTAATAATAATAATAATAATAATAATAATAATAATAATAATAATGTAATCAAGTGCTTACCTGCGGCCAGGTGAGAACGGCGTCCCATTTCACAAAGGGGGGTTGTTGTAAAAGTAGTAGCTGCTGTAGGCCATCGTCCCCAAAGAGACCGCTGCCCCCAAAATCTGCATCATTACGGTCTTGTCCTTCCAGAATGCCTTTGCTGAAAGGGAGGGGAGGATAGGACAAAATCATTATTATTGTTATTAATATACTGCTAGTGATAATAATCCATACACATAATAAACGTGAAAATATGTATGTATGTGTGTGTGTGGCCGGGGTGCCCTTACACAGACATGTTCCCGCCTCCAGAAACATCTATAGTTCCCACTCCTCAGGAGACACCAACGGCCCTCCCTCCATGACATTGCAGGTTATAGTGAGCGCCGTAAAAATGTCCAAGAACCCTGCCAATGTCCTCCACCAACACCACACTGCCCACCACCCAAGTCAAGGCTTTCATTTTGGGACAATTTGCCCTAGATTTTATGTGTTTCATCCACCACAGGCATCCCAGCAGAAGGTGTCACCCCAAAGGAGATTCATCAGAGAAAGCAAGCTGTTTATGGTCATTGTGTTGATGTGAGTACTGTGTGCCATTGGGTGAGTAAGTTTAAAGATGTTGAGGTGACACCTTCTGCTGTCAAGAATCTAATGATTGGTCACATTAACCAACCATCTGTGCAGGGTTCCATACTTTGCACTTTAGCAACAATGCTAAGGCTTCCTGCCAAAATGGAACTGTAGAGGAGAGTCTACTGAACAAGCCAGTACCTGCCGCATACCAGTACTGCCATCTGTTGAGGAGTTACAGAAGGTGGAGGCATTATTTTTATTCAACCCTCGTAGTAATAATAATAGTAATAATTATGATGATGATGTTGGAGGGGAAGGATGGTGGGATATAAAGAATCCTAATAAATAGTAATAGTAATAATGGTGATGATGATGATGGAAGGGAAGCGATCCCACTAATAGTAATAGTGGTGGTGGTGGTGATGATGATGATGATGATGATGATGGAAGGGAAGCAATCCCTGGACGGACAGCGGGATATTAATAATCCTAATAAATAGTAATAGTAATAGTGGTGATGATTATGATGATGTTGTTGATGATGATGGAAAGTAAGTGATCCCTGGATGGACAGTAGGATATTAATAATCCTAATAAATAGTAATAGTAATAGTGGTGATGATTATGATGATGATGGTGATGGAAGGGAAGTGATCCCTGGACGGACAGTGGGATATTAATAATCCTAATAAATAGCGATAATAATAGTAATGATGATGATGATGGAAGAGAAGCGAACTCTGGATGGACAGCGGGATATTAATAATCCTAATAAATAGTAATAGTGATGATGATGATGATGATGATGATGATGATGATGATGATGATGATGATGGAAGGGAAATGATCCCTGGACGGACAGCGGGATATTAATAATCCTAATAAATAGTAATAATAATAGTGATGATGATGATGATGATGATGATGATGATGGAAGGGATCCCTGGACGGACAGGAGGATATTAATAATCCTAATAAAGAGTCATAATAATAGTAATAATGATGATGATGATAGAAGGGAAGTGATCCCTGGACGGACAGCGAGATATTAATAATCCTAATAAATAGTAATAATGATGATGATGATGATGGAAGGGAAATGATCCCTGGTGGACAGTGGGATATTAATAATCCTAATAAATAGTAATAATAATAGTAATAATTATGATGATGGAAGGGAAGTGATCCCTGGATGGACAGCAGGATATTAATAATCCTAATGATGATGATGATGATGGAAGGGAAGTGACCCCTCGAGGGACGGCGGGATATGAAGAATCCTATTATAATGGAATGAATGAATGAATGGTCACTCAATCATAAGGATCAATTTGCATGTACTCACGAGTCCTGGCTACGGTGGAGGAGGCCCCTCGGTGTGGGACCAACCTGCGGAGGCGAAGGGCACCTTGGGGCCTCCCGGGAGCAAAGAGGGCGGCATGGACCTCGGGGGCCCCTCCATCCCCCCGGAAGAAGACCTCCTCGAGGGCCCCTTCCAGGAGCTGCAGGGCCTCCTCCTCGCGGGCTGGGGGCGGTTGGACCACCACCCCTACTAAGGAGGTGGCTGGAGAGCCCCCCACCTGGGCTTGGAGGCCCCGCAAGGCCTCCTTCACGGGGCCCGGCCGCTCCTGGAGGGACCCCCAGCGCACCACGAAGAAGACCAACTGGGCTGAAGGGGAAGACAATGGTACCGGGGGGCACGGAGGGCCAGAGGATTCAGGGGTCAGGACGCGGTGGGCAAAAGACCCCAGTACGGTCTGCCCGCTCTGCAGGGCCCCCGGCTCCCCCGAGAGGAGCAGCACCTGCGTGCGGTGCACCACCGCCGAGACCCCCGGCGGAGGAGGAGGAGGAGGAGGGCCCCCAGGCTCCATCTCTCAGCCATAGCCCCCCACAAGGGCCCCACAGGGACACCAACCCCTCACTTATACATTGGCACACAATGGTCACAATGGGCATCCAGGGAGACTGGCCACACAGCCAGAGGGCCCTCTGAAAATGAGGAGGAGGAGGATGGGGACAAACCTCCTCCTTGGCGGTCAAGGAGTTCCTCTTGGCAGTCAAGCACTTCCTCTCCTCCTTTGTTATAAGCGCTCCTTCTCCTCCTTAGTGGTCAAGCATTCCCTTCAAGGTCAAGCACTTCTCCTTCTCCTCTCCCTCCTTTTCCTTCTTGGGGTCAAACACTTCTTCTCCTTTCCTTCTTCTCCTTCTTCTTGAGGTCGAATTCTCCTTCTCCCACTTCTTCTCTCCTTCTTCTCTTCCTCTTTCTTCTCCTTCCTCTTGTGGTCAAACACTTCTTCTCCTTCTCCTTCCTTTCTTCCTTCATCTCCTTCTTCTTGGGGTCGAACGCTTCTTCTCCTTCCTTTCCTGCTCTTGGTCAAAGATTTCTTCTCCTTCTCTTCCTTTCTTTCTCCTTCTTCACCTTCTTCTCCATTTTCTTTGGGTCAAACATCACCTTCTCTTTCCTTTCCTTTTTTTTCTCCTTCTTCTCAGGGTCAAACACTTCTTCTCCTTCTCCTTCCTTTCCTACTCCTTCTCCTTCCTCTTGGGGTCAAACACTTCTCCTTCCTTTCCTCCTTCTCAGGGTCAAACACTTTTTCTCCTTCTCTTCCTCTCTTTCTCCTTTTTCACCTTCTTCTTGTTTTCCTTTGGGTCAAGCATTTCTTCTCCTTCTCTTTCCTTTTTTCTCCTTCTTCTCGGGGTCAAACACTTCTTCTCCTTCTCCTTCCTTTTCTCCTTCTCCTTCTTCTTGAGGTCAAACCCTTCTTCTTCTCCTTCCTTTCCTCTTTCTTCTCCTTCCTCTTGGGGTCAAACACTTCTCCTTCCTTTCCTCCTTCTCAGGGTCAAACACTTTGTCTCCTCTTCCTCTCTTTCTCCTTCTTCACCTTCTTCTCCTTTTCCTTTGGGTCAAACATTTCTTCTCCTTCTCTTTCCTTTCCTTCTTTTTTCCCTTCTTCTCAGAGTCAAACACTTCATCTCCTTCACCTCTTTCATCTTCTTCTCGTCTTCTCCTTCTCCTTGGGGCAAGGATAACATTATATAATATTATTATTATTATTACAATATATTACACTCTGGAACACATCGGGTTATAAATGGGTTATAAATGCCATTTCTGAATGGATTCTGTCACAAAAACATGGGGAAAAGTTTATTATATTTTGTTTCAAGGGGACATTATGCTCAAGCACATCTGGCTTTAGTTTTGCAATCTCACAACAAAGTTTCCGGAGTAGAAGCACTCCTTTCGAAGTAAGCATTGCACCATGAAACAAGAATAACACTTTCAAACCAGGAACCTGGATTATTTTCCAAGTATTGTTACAAATGGTGTCATCCAGCCCATGTTGTTTGGGGGCCTTCAGGGCCCAAAAGTATGACGCCTGCACAGAACCATCCCATTGCCAACCTTCTCCCCTCAGGATGATACGTCTCCTCTGATGAAAGCTCACAATGTGTCAGAAGGTTCTAGAACGCGCTGGGGCTGGCAGTTGCTGGTCAAGTTCTCTCTGTGTATCCATGTATCTGAGAGCAGAGGACCCTGGCCATGGCGTACCCCAACCCAGGGATCCTGAAAGCGGCCATGGGCCACTACTTGACAGAGAGCGCCCGCACTGCGCTAGAGGCCCTGGAGCCCGAAGGGGAGCCTGTTGTGGTGAGTGTCCGAGGGGAGAACTGAGGTTGGCCAAGTAGGGAGGGAGGGGTCTTCCCTAGCATGGAAGAGATTGCTGGGAAGGGTCTTCAAAAGAGGTCTCTCTAAGGTGGTCCCAACTCAACCTCGGATCTTGGAGGACTTTCTTAGTCAACCCAAAGCATCAACGTTGAGATGGAGGCTACCATTGAGAAGACCCCCTTGAACACTTGAGTTTGGAAGAGTCTTGAAAGGAGGCCTCCAAGGTGGTCCCAACTCAATCTCAGATCTTGGAGGACTTCCTTAGTCAACCCAAAGTATCAACATTGAGATGGAGCTACCATTGAGAAGATGAGTTTGGAAGTGTCTTGAAAGGAGGCCTCCAAGGTGGTTCCAACTCATCCTCGGATCTTGGAGGACTTCCTTAGTCAACCCACAGTATCAACATTGAAATGGAGCCATCATTGAGAAGACCCCCTTGAACACTTGAGTTTGGAAGGGTCTTGAAAGGAGGCCTCCAAGGTGGTCCCAACTCATCCTTGGATCTTGGAGGACTTCCTTAGTCAACCCACAGTATCAACATTGAAATGGAGCCACCATTGAGAAGACCCCCTTGAACACTTGAGTTTGGAAGGGTCTTGAAAGGAGGCCTCCAAGGTGGTCCCAACTAAACCTCGGATCTTGGAGGACTTCCTTAGTCAACCCAAAGTATCAACATTGAGATGGAGCCACCATTGAGAAGAACCTTTCTTGAACCTTCTCTGCCCAACTACAAATCCCAAGATTCCATAGCCTTGAACCAAGGGGGTTAAAGAGGCCCCGGGTCCAATAAAAAGGGTCTGGGGTCTCCAAGGTAGGAGCAAACATGACCAATGATAAGGCAATAAACTATAGGTTTAGCCATTGACCCCTTTCTCTTCTGGATCCTCAGCTGGGCCCCGGGAAGCAGATGCCGGTGGTGGGACCCAACCAGATTCTGGACATGCCGCTCTTCACCAAAATCCCCTTCCTCCCGGGCTCGAACACCATGTTTTACACCACAAACCTTGGTGAAAAGGTGAGGAATGAAACTCAAATCCAAATCTGTGCCAGGGAATCCGTTCCAGGTTTTGTATGGCTTTGGAAATGGCTTGTATGGGAGCCAAAGCCAGCACCTCGGAGAGTTCCTTGAGGGTCCGAGCAAAAACCTGGTGTGGATTTGGGGAAAAAAGGATCTGCCAAAGGGAGGAAAATATAGATACAATAAAATTTGGGCTGTGTGTCACAAGCAAAGCCATGAAGCAGCCCTGGATGGAAAAGACAGATGGATAGAGATGACAGATAGACAGACAAACAAACAGACAGACAGACATCTGCCTCCAAAACCTTTTGGGGATGGATGGATGGAGGAATAGATAGATGGATAGGTGGATGGATAGGTGGATAGATAGATGAATGGATGACCTGGCACTGAATGTTTGCCGTATGTATGTTGTGCTCTGCCCTGAGTCCCCTTCGGAGTGAGAAGGGTGGAATATAAATGTTTTAAATAAATAAATAATAAAAGAATGGATGGATGGATGGATAGATAGATGGCTAGGTGGATGGATAAGTGGATAGATGGGTGGATGGATCAATGGATAGGTGGATGGAAGGGTGAGTGGTAGATAGATAGACAGACAGATAGGATAGATAGGTAGGATAGATAGATAGATAGATAGATAGATAGATAGATAGATAGATAGATAGATAAATGAAGATAGGATGGATGGATAGATAGATGAATAGAGATAGATAGATAGATAGATAGATAGATAGATAGATAGAGGATGATATATGATGGAGGAGATAGATAGATAGATAGATGGATAGATGAATGGATGGATGGATAGATTTATTGATCTATCCACCCATCCATCTGCCTACCTGCCTGCTCTTTCTCTGGGATTCCTGGCTGACCGATGTCCTTCTGTCCAGCTGTACCAGCCTTCAGCCACCTTTGACCTCACCGACCCTTACTGCAAGATGATGCCCCCCAGGTATAAGAGCCTCCATGACCCGCACCTGAAGGCCTTCTACAAGCGGAAGGACAACCTGCGGAGGCTCAAGAAGGCCGGGTACATCACTGACAAGAACAAGGTCAGGCGCTGGGAAGATCCCTGAAGGGTTGGTCTAGATGTCTCTTTGGGGGACCCTTCCTTAGGACAGGATAGTGAAAGTTTCATGTTGGGGTCTTCTCTCTCTTCATTCTATGGATTCTAATGCACTTATTGAAATGATCGCGGTTTTAATACGGGGGCCCATGGGTTTTCCTTCCCTCCGCGCAGGTGGTCTGCTCCTTGAAGGAATTCAACGAATACAGACAATACTTGACCTCCCTGAAGCTGGAGTTTGAGAAGCACTACCTCCGGGAGCAGGTAAACCCCTCCCCAATGGTATAGGGTTTGCAATGCAGGCTGTCCCCAAGTTACAAACAAGAGAGGCTCTGTGGGTTTGTTCTTAAGCTGAATTTGTATGTATCTCTAGGATCCTATCTATCTCTCAGTCTATCTCTCTTTCTTATGGGTTGGACCTGATGGTCTTTAGGGTCTCTTCCAACTCTAGGTGTCTACTGATCAATCAATTATCTATCTATGTATCTATCTCTTTTGGGTCAGACTAGATAGCCTTTGAGGTCTCTCTCAACTCTAAGCAGCTAATGATGAATCAATTAATTTTATCTATCTATCTCTTTCAGGTCAGACTAGATGGCCTTTGGAGTCTTTTCCAACCCTAGGATTCTATCAATCAATCAATCACCTATCTATTTTTTCTATCTATTTTTCTATCTATCTATCTAGCTGGCTAGCTAGCTACCTCTTATGGGTCGATGGGGTCTCTTCCAACCCTAAGAATCAATCAATCATCTATCTGTCAAACAGACAGATTGATTGATTCAATCAACCAACCAACCAACCAATCAGTCATATATCTATTTTTCAAATAGACAGATTCATTCAATCAATCAATCAATCACTATCTATTTGTCAAATAGACAGATTGATTCAATCCATCAATCACCTATCTATTTGTCAAATAGGCAGATTAATTCAATCAATCAATCAGTCATCTATCTAATTGTCAAATAGACAGTTGGATTAATTAATTCAATCAATCATCTATCTATTTGTCGAATAGACAGATTGATTCAATCAATCATCTATCTGTCAAATAGACAGATTGTTTCAATCAATCAATCATCTATCTATCTGTCAAATAGACAGAATGATTAAATCAATCAATCATCTATCTGTCAAATAGATTGATTCAATCAATCAATCAGTCAGTCAATCAATCATCTATCTAACGGTCAAAGAGAATGATTAAATCAATCAATCATCTATCTGTCAAATAGGTTGATTCAATCAATCAATCAATCAATCATCTATCTATCTATCTATCTGTTAAATAGACAGATAGATAGATGATTGATTGATTGAATCCTAGGGTTGGAAGAGACCCCAAAGGCCATCGATCCATAAGAAATAGAAAGAGCTATCTATCTCTTATGAGTCAAACTAGATGGTCTTTAGGGTCTCTTCCAACTCTAGGATGCTCTCTCTCTCTCTCTTTTATTAGCCAGACTGGATTGTGTACAATTGATGTATTCATTCAAGGCAGGAATGTTGGATTCAGGCTGCAATATCCATCCCGGCCACAGAGTGGCAGCAGAGAGCAATGAGTGTATATCAATGCAAGACATTAAAGTTGGGTTCAGGCTGCAATATCCAATCCAGCCACAAAGTGGCAGCAGAGGGCAATGGGTGTATATCAATGCAAGCAAGGAAGTTAGCTTCAGGCTGCAATATCCACCCCAGCCACAGAGTAGCAGCAGAGAGCAATTTGCATGGGGAAAATGAATGGGGCTGGAAAGATCTCCCCCTCACCTTTTTTTTTCTTCCTGGCAGAAAATGCTGGAGAAGCAGGTGACCAAGCTGCAGGACCCCCAAGAACTCCCCGAAGGGTTAGATACCTCCAAATACCGGGACTGGCTCCTGAAGGAGGAGCGGCCCACCATCCAGGAGCAGGAGACTGTCATGCGCAACAAGTGAGACAATAAATGGGGACGATGAGAGCTAGAGTACTGCCATTCTTGACCCTTGGTCAAAGCAGCTGACCTGTCCCTTTCCCCCCTCTATAGGTATCTGGAGATGATTAACCAGGAGCTGGAGAAGCTGGAGCAGCTGGCAGAGGAGAACCGGCGCCTTGCTTTGGCTCAGGATGACAAGAAGAAGATAGGGCTGGAAAAGCGGAAGCAGCTCCTGTTGAGGAAGAAGATGGAAGAGGTGATGACGAATGCCCACCCCCATTGAGCCTCATGATAGAGGTGGAAGGGACCCCCAAAGACCACCCAGTCTAGCCCCCTTCTGTCAGAAAGGAAGTCCTCCCCACAGATAGACATCTGAATTCTAGCCCATCTAGATAATGCTATACACACACATACATACAGAGGGTTGGACTGGATGGCCTTTGGGGTCCCTTCCAACTATAGCATATGATTGATAGGTAACATAGATAGATAGATAGATAGATAGATAGATAGATAGATAGATAGATATTTCTTCTAGGTACAGAATATGACAGATAGATATCTCTTCCAGCTCTAGGATATCATAGATACATAGATAGATAGATAGATAGATAGATAGATAGATAGATAGATAGAGATAGGTCTGTACATACATACATACATACATACATACATACAT